TATATTACGTTTGCGTCGGAATGATCAAACCTTCAGCGTTATGACTCGGGCTAACAGGCAAAGAGCCGGTTATGGTGGCAAGGGCAGCGGATTTCTCAGCTTGAACCTTCAGGATCAATCCTGGCCCATGACGTGCGACCGGTGTTCTGGCCTGCACACTGCTCGATAGTTTACCACGCTGTATGAGCGGTCGTCGCGTGTGCACGCTGATCGATATTTCCTCACGCTGTGTGAACGCTCGTTAGCGCGCTTGACTCAACTTGCGTGCACTTCTGGCCATAGGCCCTGGTCGCACGGTGGCTTGTGTCCCTGTAACTCTCAGGATACGTGAATAATTGCCTTTCCAGCCATCATTACCAAGGGCTGGTCTTTCTGGAGTAGAGCATTCAGGGGATACTAAAATAGTATTCCCATTAGCTTGAAGTTTAGTCACGTGCAAGTGGATTACAAGAAGGAAATGAACATTGCTAGATGATCAGGCGAGCCAGAGAGATTGAATCTCAAGTGTATAGCCTGGACTAGCAGTGATAAATGGCCGCAAACGACTCAGAAATGATCATCCGTGTCTCGAGTTTATCGGTAAATATTCTCAATTGTAAAGTTAACCATTGCGTGATGACGTTTTTTTTAAAAAACGGAAAACTGTTGTTTCGTCCTTACGTTTTATTTACGTTTTTACTTGAATCAAGGGTATATTTGTGTTTGGAAAAGCTTATGGTTATGGGATTTGTAAAGACCGTGCAATTTGTATTCATAAGGCGTCGTTGAAAGTATACAGCACGAACCACATTCCTTACAAAATTTTATAAGCACTAAGTGATCCTTTCCTCACAACATAACGAAGGCTATGATTTTTCTGACACTGAACATATACAACATGTAGGTTTCAAAACCTGAAAAATATTTTCTGGAATTTTAAACGTTCGTTCTTTTTTTCGAAAACAAAATTTGGAGAAGACGTACTTTTCTGTCAGATGTGTACAAGCAAGTGTGTTTTTGGGCATGCTTTCTATCAAATATAAACGAACTTATAAAGCCATCGAAAATAAAATGAAAAGGCATACTACTAAAGTAGACATTCGTAGAATGTTTTTTTATATGCAGCCCAAAAGAAGCTTCTTCAAAACCCGACATCCTGATTTGAACGAAGTATTTTCATCTAATGCTGATGTTACAACCCTACTAATAAACCTGTGGACATAAATTCTATAACATTTACGCAAATTCGTGCTGTCTTCTGCTTTATCTTTGTTTATTTTTATTATTATTGGGAACAGAATAAAGTTTATTCTGTACATTTTCGAAACTGGTCCCCCAGCTCGTCGTCAGACAAATGAAAGGTGTACAAGAAACAGTTAACTTAAAACGATGCCTTACACAAGCTGGTATGGTTGGCCAGAGTGTAAACTAATAGGCACCATCTCCATTTAGGCATGCGACTGATAGTGCCTATTTATGCTTCCATCCGACCCGGCCTATTAATGCCTGCCTAGTCTTATTGCATTGACTCCAGGAATTCGCGACTCTTCCTTGTTGGACAGGCGCCAACGATATGTCCTGTGTCTAGTGTGTGGATGGCAACCTGAGATAGGTGGTCTCGTCTCCTGACTACCATCTTGTTTTCAGTTGGTTTGGCCACAATAGATTGCATCAGAAGTGGTATAAGTTATTTTGTAGACGACTTATGTTCTGCTGAAATAGTCAACACTATGCGGCAGGCCTGTGCGCAACCTGTTTTTTTTTGAAGAGCCCAGACATGGTCTTCACTTATGGGAGGGTTCGCCAGTTCGCTTGTTACTGTTCTTTTATTATTTATATAGCTATATTATATTACTATTCGGTTAAGCTATGAAAGGAAAAAGATAGGCACACGCCTGTGAGCTTCCCATTGATGACAAAGGGGCTAGGAAATGTATCGATACATTATATTATTATGTTATATGGCTCAGCACTTACAATTGCGGCAGAGCGGCCCACGGTACTCCGGTGGACAGTGGCAGCCATAGCTTCCGTTTGGGAGGCTAACGCAGATGCTCTCTCCGTAGCACTGGGGGCACTGATCCTTAGGCGGAATCTGCGCAGGTGATATCGCAGGTACCGGTGTCGCTGTTGTTGTTGTCGACGATAGTGCCAGTATCATGGTGGCGCTGGCGTTCGTATTATTCTGTTGCTGACCGGGAGTAGACCAGGACGACTTTAATTGGCAAGAAAGTTTGGAAAGAGGTAATAAAAACAAAATACGTCCTGGCGGGCACGCAAACCGTACTAGCG